CAGGGCTCTGCTGGGGCTCAGCTCTGGGCCAGGCTGGGCCCGCTCTCCCCTCACATTGCTCCGGGCAGCCGAGTCACAGAGGGAGGAGGAAGGGACACCTCAAGGGAGTTGAGGTTTAAGAGAGTTTTTATTCAAAAAACTGCCATACCAAACAGGCTGTCATAAGAACCATAACAAACAGGCTGTCCTAACTACCATAACCAACTAGCAGTCCTAACTACCATAACCAACTAGTTGTCCTAACTAGCTACTATAACTAACAGCTGTCCTCCAGTGCTTCATCTCCTCTGCTGCTCCCTCAGTTGCTTTGCTGTGGTGATCAGAGGGTTCAGGCTGGAGAGAGGCTTGGCTGATGATAAAAATGGGTGCTGCCCAAAGGATAAAAAAGAAAGAAATGAACTGTTACTTTCCAGAGTCAACTTCCTCACAGGCTCTGTTGCAACAGGACAAAGGGAAATGGTCTGAAACTCAGGAGAGGGAAGCAGGCTCAGATTAGACCTAAGGCAGAATTTTTTTGCCAGGAGAGTGGGGAAACACTGACAGAAGGTGCCCAGAGATATGGGAGGTGCCTCCTCCCTGGGAACATCCAAGCTCAGGCCAGGCAGGGCTCTGAGCACCGGACCTGCCTGAAGATGGCCCTGCTCCTTGTGGGGCACCAGAGGCAGATGCCCTCGAAAGGACCCTGCCAAGCCAAACCCGGCGAGGATTCTGCTTGCTTTGCGTGTGTGTCCTAGGTTGACTGTATGATGCCTTTATCCCCAATTGTCTGCCCTGTTTATGTTGAATAATAAGTTCTACACCTTTAAGACTTGTTCCAGGAGGGAAGGGGAGGGTGGGAAGAAGCACGGAGTTTGTTTTCAAGAACTGCACTCACTCCTCCACATTCCTGCTCCTGGACTGAGTTGTCTGCGTACAGACGGACAATGAGACTGAGCTCTCCTTTGGTTTTTTTTTCCTAGTCTAGTTAGTTTTAGCTAGCTGATGCAAAGAAGTTCCCTGGACTGTGTTTTTTTCCCTTTCTCTGGACCTGCTCTGGGCTGAACACCAGGAGAGCAGCAGCAGCAGTACCTGTGGCTCAGCGGGCTGGGCCTGGGCCGTGGCATTTCCAGCACCGGAGGGACTGATCAGAGACTGAGTGAGCCCAGCTGCAAAGCTGCAACCCGGGAGATTTTTTTTTCCTGAGTTTGTCTCCCTCTTGGAGTGGCAAGAAGTTTTATTGTTTACTATTGTTTAAGTTTGCTTGTTTAATAAACAGGTTTTTTCCACCTTTTCTCCAAAGAGGTATCTTTCCCAAACTGGTTGGGGGGAGGGGCCAATTGAATCTGCTTTCCGGAAAGAACCCTTTTAGGGTTCTTTCCCCAAATTTGCCCTGAACCAGGACAGTATGGAACACAGCGAGACTGGAGACTATTGGAGGGGCCCCAGCAGAAAACCCCTCCCTGGCGCTGCTGCTTCCCCTCGGCTGCTCGGCATTCACCTGCAGCAGCTCCTGGGCAGACCAGCGCTGCTCCTTGTCCGGCTCCAGGCTGCACTCGAGGAAGTCCCGCAGCAGAGCCGACAGGCGCCGGGGCTCCTGCAGCTGCGGGGTCCCGTTGTGCCGGATCAGAGCGCGAGCCTGCAGAAAAAGCAAACTCAGCGCTCTGCCAGCTTCCTTCCCACCCACAGGTGCTCACAGCGACCCCGGGTTCTCAGCCCCAGCTCCAGGGGCACTCTCCTCCCTGGCAGAGATGCTGCTCACAGCTCATTTTCCTGTGCCAACCAAAAAACCCAAACCCTGGTGCTGCCACAGCCATTTTAATGAGCTGATGCACTTGCTTCACATTTTCAGGTCCTCCTCAGAGCCAGAAGAGCTGCAACAACGTAAATCCCAAAGCAAATTGTTGCTGGAGGCTGAAGAATATTTGTCTGTGTTGAGGCTTGAGTCCTCTGGGGATTTCCTTCCCCAGGTGCAGAAACCTCCAGCTGCTGCTCCCAGTGCAGGGTCACCCTGTGCTCACAGGGCTCTGCAGCCCCTGGAGAATTTGCCTCTTACCATGGCCCTCGTTTCCTT